CCGAATAGTCCATCTGAGCATAATATCACTTGCTACATTGTAATGAAATCAACGGGTCCTTTTCAAGAGATATCAGAAATCGCTGAAATTAGCATATTTTCCGCAATTAACAAATCTAGGTTACTTAGTCTTTACGAAGGCTGGAGCTGTGTCGGCTATAGGTATTCCAGATTCGTCAACTTGAATAAGGTAGTGGCTCGATTACTGATCGCAAGTCTACCGAATATTCCATCCCAGATCACCAGGTATACGGTTGTTACCGGTTTGGGATGGACAAAGAGACCTCGATCCAAGCAGTTCACGCTCAATAACGTAGTGACGGGCTCTGTCGTGTACCGGACTGAACAAGCGGGATAATTAATTAATTGAATGGCCCTAACGGTTGCGTTATCATCGTTCATGGTATATCTTTCGGAATGTGAGGATTACCACCTATGATTGTCTAGCTGGTGATAAGATTTGGCTTTTTCATCTAGCCCTGATTAACTAAAATAACCCAGCTCTAAAATTAAATTCACAATTTATTATTGACTGTTCGATGAATTAAAGTGGTACACTTTTATAACATAAGAAAGAATTGGGGCATACAGGTGCATTGCTTTTTATCAAGCATATTAAAGAAGAAATATTATATCCTACCTGTAAATTTACACTCAAATTGTTCAGGTAGGAACCTTTACCAAAATAATGGTAAGAAATTAAAATAATAAATTACTTGGCCGACTCATGTCGGATAATAAGAGTTCAATCATTCATTCTCGCAAATAGTGAAGAACAGCTCGTAAAAAAATCAAGTAAACACTGGGAGAGTCTTGATAATTTGGCTGGTAAACATCCAATCAGGGCATTATTTCACATCCAATGGCTGCTTCATTCTAAGGTAGGATAGCATGCGCTCATCGATCCGTTCTTAATTTTTTCTCATTACTATTCAGTAATTACAGTGGGCTTTTAAAGGGTTATCCGCTAGTTTCAAATACAAACCAATATGCACAATTTTGGAGTCTTATTTTCCAAAGCCCACAGTCCTTCATGAAATAATATCTTATAGTGTTTTGAGTGATAATTGCATTCAAGTATTTCACAAACAATTTTAGTCAGCCACTTCAGAATTGGCAAGTTAGAGCTCCTTAAATCAATTATCGACTTCAAAGCATGATGAGCATTCGTTTTGGGGGAAAAATTACCATACATTAATATATTCCATATTTTTCGGACTACCTTTTTTGAAACATTCTCGTTTCCTTCTGGCCAAAGTCTAGGTCCTGATGGCAACTTTCCAAAAGAATAAACTCTGAATAATATCGCGATGCTTCAGTCTTATCCATATTCATACTATAAATGGACTGGCTAAGAGTGATTTTCACCATAAAATTTGGAGGTCTTGGTTGAGGCATGGGAGATATTTATTTCAGATCAGCCTTCTATGTGACCAGCCTGAAGGCCTAATATGTCTGGTCCCAGGTGATGGCTTCGCTTCTCTCATGCCATTAGAACCGTTCCTCCGAATATTGCTGCCATACAGACTCCTACTTGATTCCTCTATTCTTCGGCCTAAAGGCCTAGAAAATTTAGCCCAGTTGCTTTGCTGTAGGGCAATGTAAGAAGCAGCTGGAGTTTTGCCATCAGATGCCTTTTTGGGCCTAGCGATCATGTTAGGTATATTTCCACTGTGTTTACTAGTTCCGCTGCTGCAGCTGCTATCACTAGTGCCGACTCTTTGTCGCTGCTGAAATACCGGGGCCCGGTTGTGGGTGAATCCTTCTTCATGCTTTACATCGCTCACGCGACCTGGGGCTCTTTTGTGATCAGCCCGCTTCACTTCGTTCGACCCGCTATCGTTGCTGACGCCAATGCATGCCTCGGAGACTGATTCTACATGAGATGTGAGAGAACTATTCGTTGGCGCAGCGCTTGGGGGACGAGGTGATGCTGCTTGTATAGAAAGAAATCTGGTCGTCAATAGAGCAAGCCATGTCCCGAGTAGTGGGCCAACCCAGTAGACGATTAGATGGCAGCAAGGTGAAACTGTTTTGGGGTTCCAAGCCTGAATGTATGCGTTAGCGGGGTTAATGTAAATGCCAGTGAGTGGAAGGCCTGTAAAAAAATTAACCCGATGAAAATACTGTCGAGCAAGAATCGTAATTAAAACTTAAAAACTATACAACAATATTTCGAATGGATTTAAGAAGAAAAATCTTGAAGCAAAAATAAATTCTAATCACGTAGCATCTGCTACAGTTTACATCGGCTCATTAATAGCAGACGATAAAGACTAGCAGCTATAATTCCACACTACTAGAAGATCCTGTATAATAGCAAGGCTGGGCTAAATTCAATGGTTTCCTCAGGGCTGCTAATAATGTTCCGGGAAAATTAAATTATCAGTATTTTATCCATGATAAATATAGCTATTCAAAATCTCTTTAAAAACTCAAAAGCTATTCAAACCTAATACAAGTACTTTAGTCGATTATAGTTTACGAGCTTGCTTCATCTATGATCTAACTAGAAGAATGTAATGTGAAGGAGGCCTGGCTAACGTTAGATTCACGTCCCACCGGAGCCCGTGTGATGCAGAGGTAATCTGTAGAAATCTTGCTCTGCACTACCAGGGTTCGATTCTTGTTTAAGTAGCTGATAAGACCCAGGAGAGGTCGAAACTGGAGTCTACTTTAGATGATAATACCTTTGAGGCAAGGCTAGGTAAAATTCAATTACACCGTGATATCTACTCGTATGCCTTTAAGAAAGCTTAACTATCATTCCGTTTATCATGTGGCCTATGACGAATACAATTCCTATTCTTACACTATTAAGTATATACTAATTAACAATGATCTCGTGAATATATGTTTAAACAAGTATACCTGCATAATATCTGGTAATCTGATACATATGAAAAAGCAATTATTATACAATCGTTTCATTAAAGGTGTATTCATTTTTGTAATTCTTTCCATTTAATGAAGACACTATGTGGTCTGATTGCCTGATGTTATTTTTACTCACCAGGAAAATCTCTGGGCAAACTAAGTAACTAAATAAGTGCCCTCCAATGCGCTTAAGAGAAACTAAAAATGTCTTGAAAATGAGTCTAGTAGAATTGCTAAAAACCTATTCATTTCATAATATAGACACAACGAATCTCCTTCATTTTTTAAGGTATATTAGCTTATTTTAAATTCCTAGTTACGTATAAGACGCTTACCAATGTGGATAATTAGCAAGAATATAGCTAGGCGGACTAAGTAAAGCAATGAGGTGACTACGTCCAAAAAGTAGTCATCTTTTTGCTGGTTTTGATCAATGTAAGGTTCCGTGCCAGAACTGCCGTTGA